TGGTGACCTTGGCCAGCACAGTTTCATTGGCAAAACCCTCAGTGCTTCTGTGGGCTCAGCATAGTGGGCATCCACCGCTTGTAGTGGATCAGTGCCAATTTTCATCTGGCTATTGCTTTTCTTTCCAAACTTCAATCTTCCCTCTTGGATAGCATTCTGAACCAAATCCCTGAAAAGAAAACATTGAGACGTTTTATGACCCAGAAAATTATGGTATTTACAAAACGCTCTCTTTTTTCTCTGTTCTAAAGGTGGCTTTTAGCGCCAGCAGGCACTATCATTTTCCCATCTTTAACTAACAAATCAAAAATGTCGTCACATTTAGTAATATCGAAAGTATATGTTTTCTTTGGAAACTTGTCATTCTTTTCAAATTAGACAAAATTTTTTCCATTTGGGGGAGCTAACACTTTACAAGCGTAAGGACGACCCTGCTTTAATTCAGCAACATCTATTTCATTTTTGTCGAAATATAATGATTCATTACGTACACCTTTGATATTTTAATTATATTCGACATAAGTTACCTTCTTATTCTTATTAAATTTGGCCTTTTCGTCTTTAAGACGCTCTAGCTGTCGAACCCTATCAGCTAGTTGGGCCATATCTCTCAGATACTGAGTATCTAGTTTCTTTCTAATAGAGTAATCGAGGCCACCAACTGCCATTTCGAATAACTCGTGTTAGGTACTTGAGTAAAACATCTAACCTTGAGTAGTCGGAACCTATTTAGATAATCTTCTATTGGCTCAGAAAACTTTCGTTTTATACTAGCCAATTCCTTCAAGCTAATCTTGGTTTTCCCCATATAGAACTGTTCATGAAATAAACGTTCCAACTGGGTCCAATTGCAAACTGAGTTAGGGGGTAAGGTTGTAAACCAAGTGAAAGCATTTTTAGTGATAGAGCTTGGAAAGTAATTTATCCTAAGGCTTTCATCATTTGAAATCTCTCCGGCTTCGATCATATACCGGGCAACGTGTTCGACAGTAGATTCTGTCGTATCTCCTGAAAACTTGGTAAACTTTGGCACCTTCGTCCTAGGAGGTAATTCTGACTGGAGAATATAATCTACTATTGGTGACGTATAATTTGGCCTAGTGAAATCGAAGTTTACCCCATTTCGAGCCATTATTCTTTCAACCATGGCTGCTAAGTTGTTATCGACAACTATGTTGTTACGTCGAACCTGTTGTATGACATTGTCTGCATCTTGGTTTTGATTCACCATAATCACTCCTGGGTCTCTTTCTACCGGAATTGGTGCTTGGGCCCTTTGTGGTTCGACCCTAAGAGGCTCGAGTCTAGGGAGTTCGACCCTCCCTTGATTTTCTAGGTTGGCCTCAGGTAGGTTCCCTAAGTCCTGCCATGGAATGTTTTCCACAATAGTCGTGGTTCTGACAGTGGCTGGCACACCCATAAATTCTGCCAGCCGTGCTAATTGCATTTCTAATTGTTGGTTAGTCTGAGTATTATTCTGGATCAAGGGTTGGAAAATTTCCCCCATAGTTTGGGATAAAGTTTGAACCATTTTCAGGTTGCTCTCATCCATTTGCTGCCTCAAACAAGCTATTGAAGTATTGGTCAGATTAGGGCCCTGAGTGGAATACCCCACACCTACACTTTGACTGTTTCGACCAACATTTATCCCAGATCCTGATCGTTGTAATGGCGAAGCCATCACATTCTCTAAGAATATTGGGGGAGCATTTTGGAGGCCTTGCATTACTGTCGTTAGCATTCTATATGGTGGATTTCTTGGTAATGGTTGTGAAAATCCTGGAGGGAAAAAATGTCTGGACGTCGAAGTCCCTCCTGGAGGAGTTTCGGGATTCGACGCTTAAGGCCCAACATACTCTAGAACGGGTTGGATGTAGGCCTTTATACTTGTCGACCATGAGCCCAACACTAATGGCCCTGGTTCAGGTCTAACAGGAGGCGGTATCTGCTCTCCTGTCGAGGGGACTGAGGGTGGAACTACATCATTCCTAGACACATCTCGAGGATTGGTGTTACTAGGCTGGAGATTAGAGTCATCCCCTTGAAGGTTTGGATTATTTGGCTGATTAACATTCCTCGCCATTTCCCTAGTGTAGTTTTTTCTTGGTCTTTCTTCATTTGTAGCGGCTATCTTACCACTTCTTAATAACATGCAACAAAGTTTTATCAAAGATAATAATAACAACTGTAGTTTCGCAAACTTTTACAAAAATTTCAAAACAATTTTAGCACTGTCCCACCAGAAGTGCCAATTTGTTTCCCGTGAAATTTGGAAAACAATCGCTGATCTTCCAATCTAAATTTGGTGACTCACAGGATCGATCAGATTGATCCTAGGACATATGCTAAATTTTACTTGAAAGGAAATACTAAGGAACTGAACACTTCGACAGTGTTTATGAGGCAAAGGTTAATGTAAATGTAAGGTTCGACTGAAATGAAAGGACATGAAATTGTAGGAAACAAAGTAAAAAACCTTCAAAAACACTTAAACAAAGTAAAGCATAATGCCAGAAAGATGTAAACTGCAAGGAAGTAAAAGATAAACTCTTTAAGATAAAGCAAAAAAAATAAGTTTCATTAAAACGTAGAAATGGTGTTTTTACATGACGTACATTCTCCCAGAACTCTTTTCTCTACACTCGGATAGTTTGAGTAAATTTTGGAGTGACTTGTATAATAGTAAATTACAACACTCTGGATTCTATTGCTAGAACCCCTATTTATAATAATATGATTAACTGCTGTTAAACTCCTAAAATGATCAGCCCATGACAAGTGTTTCGCCGCATGTAGTTGCTTCTTGGATGTGCGCCACTTGTCTCGTTCAACAATGAGAAAGCATAACTACTCCCTCCCTTATTTGAATTTCAAATTCCATTAATATTTGGCCAGCATTCTCGGTCGAATGTGACCTCTTTAGAAATATTTTCTAAGTCCCAAAAAGTCTTCTCTCCTTATGTGGATGCCTTCGATTTCATTTATGACCAAGACCCACTCGAAGGTTTTTCCATATTACTTCAAGATTTCAATATCTCACCCAAACATTTTAACTCTATGTGGGCGTCGAGTTTGTGAGCTAACAGACTCTGCTGGGGATTTTCTCATCCCTAAGTGAGTCAATCCTATTTAGGTTTTTGTGCGTGTTTATGTTTGCTTATTTGTTTTGTTTTTCTTTTATCTTATGTTTTTATTGTTGTTATATTGTGATTGAATCTTTGTCACTTGGATTTCTGATTACAAAAACCTTGAGGGAAAGACTCTATACCCGAGCTTTGAGTAAAAACATAAGATAGGATGATGGTTGAGTATTGTGGGTCCGTGAGATTTAGATCCCGTTAGGGTCGACATGAGAAACTCACTTAGAGTAGACCTTTTGAGAATATTGGAGCCCGACATGTAGTTGTCGTTGGCCTCGATGTTTGCATAAAGATCCATGACTCTAAGAACTAGGGCTAGACAACGGGGCAAGTTGGGCGGGTTCAGGCCTTAAAGTGGCACCCAGCCCAAACCGCGATTGAACTTTAAAGGCCCATTTCCGCCCAAATTTTAAACGGTTTTGACTGGTTGGGTTCGAACGGGTTGCAGGTAACTGCAGATGGTTTATTCGGGTTATTGAGCATATCATATTTTTGGCCCAATAACATTATCAATCATTTATAAAATTTAATTATTTTTTACATAATACCAATTGATCAATACAGATTAAAACTAAAGTAACTATGGTCTGTCTTTGTAACTTTGAATAAAGCTCTTTATTTATTTGAAAAATATAACAAGTGAATTGAAATTAAATAAGATTAACAACAACTAGATAAACAATAATAGTGTCATATTAATATTGTTCAATATAAACAAACAGTAGCAAACAGTATAGGAACATACAAAAATCCAACAAATTATTTAACATATTTCAATTTACTGCTTCTAGATTTCTTTCAATGATCTATCAGTAGCAACAAAAAGACCTGTTTCTAGATTTTATTCATCATCATGGCTTCTTTCTAATAGTTAGTGGTCATGCGTGTTCAACTATAAACATATATAGCATATACAAACACACACAAAATTGCATCAATACAAATATTTAAATAAATCACTTGAGTAATGCATATAAATATTTAAAAAACTAATTATATATTTAACTAGAACAATATTTAAAAAGCTAATCATATATCCTTGAGGTAAACTTGAATATCCCATTTAACTAGATGACCTCAACTCTTCTCTTATATACTGCTTGCCATAAAACTCCATTAAACTTATTGAGATAAACTTGAATATCCCTTTCAATTAGATTTAAGTACTCATAAATCTTAACTTTGCATAACAGAGTTAAACCTTAAACCTTAAATTTTAAACCTTAAACCTTAAATCAAACCAAATGCTACTTACAAAATCTTGCAAACATCACACCTTGGGTGATACAGCTCCTTAAAGCACAATTTATGAATAAGGTAATTTCCACACATGAAATTCTACAATGAATAAAAATCAAAGCATTATTTACAATCATACAATCATATTGTCTATAAGAAATTAGTCTTGTAGAGGGAAACAATCTAACCTCATATTCATTTATTACATTTTGCAAGCCTGGTAACCAAAACATTATGGATGCTAAACAACTCTCATGCAAGGTACACACTACACAGAGAATAAGTTTTAGTATATGGTTTTATATATTTTAGATACCTAGAACATTGAATATACTTGTTACATTAAAATGAAGGTACACACTACACAGAGAAGCAATTTAAGCTCAAAAAGTTATCTTATTTTGTATCAAAATCACACAACTTGTATTTATATACAGTTTATATGTATATACTTGTTACACTTCATGAATTCAAAATGAACGGCCATCCATAATCCAGACAATTAAGACAATTAAGAAAGCTACCAGACTTAATTTATAGCTTGCTTACCACAGAAAACTAGTTGCAAAGTCAGAACATGGACAAAGTCATAATAGTTTGAATGCAGCATTATCAGGACGGTTAGGGCTCTTCTTCCTCCTCTGATCCTTGAAGGTTGAAATGAGTAGCAACAATTGTTGTAGCACTGTCGGATACAACATCATCGTGTTCTGGAAGAACTTTTGGAACCTGTTCATTAGCAGTTGTTGTTGTATTTCTATCAGGAACAAGGTCACCATATCTTACACGAACTTTCTGAAGTTCTTCGTTTAGTTCAATTGCACGAGAAATTGTCCTCTCATCTCTACAAATGAAAAACAAAGACGAAGTTTATGCTTTTTTCTAGATCAACACTAAAACTCTACCGATTAATTATTATGAAACTAAGCCTACAAAGGAAAAAGTAGTATTACCTAGAAGATGTAACAAGATGCATTACCCTTTGCTTCTGAAAGACATTGTTCTACAAGGTCAAGGTGAATTCATCACTTGATACCTAGGAAAGAAATAGAAAGTTTTTAAGCAAAAACTATAATCTAATTGTTTATGAATTCTATAACTATAAAGCATATATAGAAATTTTTAAAGCTTTTTAAAATCATACTGTTACAAAAGATATTATTTTTGTGGTTCGACCAAACAAATTCTATAAACATACTCTAATATTTATGTCAAAGATGTATATTCAGAAGCTTACTTTAATGGTTGATTTTTAATGACGATTTCGTTGTCCGTCAAATCTTGAATCTTGAATCTACGAATCTCTGTCAAATTTCTTGCATTGTCTAAATGTTCGATTGTAAATGACGATTTCATTGTCATGAAATGAATAACAAGTGAAAAAAGACAACATATCAACCAAAAATTATTACTCAAAACCCTAAATAACAAAACCTAATCAAAATCACCCATAGAAAAATGTAGAAGGAATATCACATCTTCAAATGGTGTTGTTCTTCGTAAAGGTCAGTGACAAAAGATGTTTCTTCGTCTTAGAGTAGTGGTGGTTGTGAGGGTGAATAACGGTAAGTGATGGTGGTGGAGTGGGAGTTTATCATGGTCAATTAGTGGTAGCACTAAGGGTGAATTACTATGGTGATTGATGAGGGAGAAGAGAAATGGTGGGTTGTGAGCTCTGCTATGGTTTAATTGTGAGAGAGGGTGTTTGGGGAAGAGAATAAGTGGTGACTGAAAACTGATAAGTGAGTAAGGGGCATTACGAGAAACAAAAAATTATTTCCTATACTCAGGTGGGTCAGGGTACCCGCGGTCTAAATTTTGGTACCTGACCCGTCCATTTAAACTCACCTTAACCCCCTCTGAGTAACCCGATTAACTCGTTGGTCCATTTGAACTCGCCCAATACCATTTTTTCCTCGGTTTCTGTTAGGTTGGGTTGGGCCGTCGGTTTTGGTCCAGCCATACTAAGAACCTTTATAGAACCTTAAACCCTTGGCCTACTAGGAACAATGGTCGTGTAGTGCGGGCCCCCGAGAGGTAGATCTCGAAGGGTCGGTACGAAGATCTCACTTAGAGTAGATTCTCTCGATGGAATTGACACTCGGCATGTAGTTGTCGTTGGCAATAAACATTCATTTGAATTCTTGACTCTAGGAACCTTGTTTAGAACCGATGGTCGCATAGTGCGGGCCCCCCGAGAGGTAGATCTCGAAGGGTCAGTACAAAGATCTCATCCAGAATAGATTCATTTGGTGGAGTGGACGACCGACATGTAGTTGTTGTGGGCGGAAAATATTCATATGAATCTATGACTCTAGGGTCTCTTCTAAAACCTTAGGTCATACCTAGTGAGAACCCTGTTTTAGAAAGCAATTAGATTCATCTGTTACCTTGAACCTTTGAACCTGTATATAAAAAAGCTTGCATTCATCTACATACATTACATATGCATAGAAAAAAAAACAAAGCTCTTAGTTACTTGTTGTTTATCTTTGGAATTTAAGACATCTTGCAAGCAAAAGATGAATCCAGAAAGAAGACTTACGTACACCTTCAAATACAAGAATCCAAAGCTTGACGTTTTGAAAGCATTGAGCTTTAAGTTGACTCACCCCATGCGTACTTATTTCAAGAAAGAAAATGGGAATTTGTTGAGCAATCGAAACGAGACAGTGGACCCCTATGACATTATCACTTTGGCTCGTTTCTATGATTCATCGTTGCGTTGTTTCACTTTTTATGAGTTCCAATTGGCTCCTACATTGGAATAATTTGAGAGGATATTGTGTCGAAGTTTGAAGAAGCACAATCCTTTTCCCAAGCTCGAAGAAGATGTCACTCCTCAAAAAATAGCTTTAGGTCTGAACATCGGTGTCCCAAATGTAATTGCCAATTATGATACGAAAGGAGGTTTCAAAGGGTTTCACATAGATTTTCTGGATGGTCTAGCTTTGGAGTTTGAGAAGGTGAAAAACAGGGATGCTTTCTATGTTGTTTTTGCTCTCTTGATTTACGGGATAGTTCTTTTCCCAAATATGGAGAACTTCGTGGACCAAGTAGTTGTGGAAAACTTTCTCGCTGGCAATCCAATCTTTTTTTTACTAGAAGATGTTTACTTCTCTGTCTATGATCGTCATAAGAAGAAAGAAGGGACCCTCTTGTGTTGTGCTCCCCTCATGCATGCTTGGTTAATGATGCATCTGAAGAAGGAAGGTCAAATTTTGTCCAAGAAGCTGAAGTGGTCAGAAAAGCTAGGATATCTTACCGCTAACAATATCAAGTGGTATATAAGGGATTGGGAGACCGAAGACATTATCGTGAGGTGTGGAGAGTTCCCTAATGTTCCATCATGGGGAAATAGAGGTTACATTAACTACAACCCTATTCTATCTCTGAGACAACATGGTTATGCTATGATCCTCCCTCTAAAATCTAAGGCCTTAAAACCATTCATCTTGCATGATATGGGGGTGAACAACCCAGATATGAAGAAGGTCAGAACGACTTAGAAGAAAATTGTTAGAAAAGGGAAAGAATTTGGAAAGAGGAATATAATTGACAAGGAACCTTATGTCCATTAGGTGAGGAAAGGGTTCAAATAATCAAGCTTCTATACTCTTTTGATCCCTTTTCTTCCTTCCAGTTTCTGAGCTAGAACGTATATTGCCCGAGGAAATTGAAAAACTTAATGTTAAGATTAAGGAGCTCAAATTGGAGAATACTGAGCTGAGGGTTAAGATGAACCAAATTTCTTTGAAGAATGAAAAGCTGAAGGATGAAAGTAAGGGGAAAGCCAAGGAACTTGAAGACAACAACAAGAGGGCCAGGCTATTTGAAGATTAAAAGGATGATCTTGATCACATCCTCATGGGTTCCACATCTATAGTTCAGACCAAAAATGAAAAGATCAAGAAAGCTGAATACAAAATTCATGAGTTAGAAAAAATGTTGAATCAGTCTCTTGTGGAAAAGAGTGAAGTTAAGTGCAACTATGAGATCCATGAACTTAAGGATATTCTCCAGAAGTGCAAGAATGAGCTGTCTTATAAGGTCCTTAGAAAGGACGAAGCTATGAGAAGATGTCTGCACTTTGAGAATCTATTGGGGAAGGCTAATAGAAGGATCTCTTCTTTGGAAAATCAAGAAAGTGATGTAGCCTACATGCTCTTGAAGAATGACAGCGTGTATTGGAGGAAGTTATATGAAGAATCCAGAGGAGCCCTAGATGAAGATGAGTGTGTCATCAAGAAGCTTCAAGGTCTTTATGTTGAAGGGAAAGGAAAATTCCATAACTTGGCAACATTTGCTAATCTCCACATGATGGAACTCCTATAAAAACTTCAAGAAGCCGATTGATCCATGTGCCCATAAAATACTCCACCTCAGGTCTTCAACTTTGTCAAGTATTAAAGAAGATGGTAAAGGAGCTTTCCACATATCTCGTAACGATCATAAAGGGCGAGTTGGAGCATAAGATTGTTTATGCTTGAGTTTTTGAATTAATTTGTCTTTTGAATGTAACTTGGAACTTTTTGTACTTGTACATGAATATTTGAATTAATGAAAGTTTTCATTTTGGATTTCATCTATTATCTTGACTTTTATTCATATTTAAAAATTCTTGCAAATGAAATATTCAAATAAAATTGCTAAAATAAATAAAAAGAATAACTAAGAGCTTTACACAAAAATGCATCCATATATGCATCCATGCATTCATGTCATTCTTCAAACAAAAACTCATTTCGTTGTCTTCTTCCAGTTCCACACTAAGTCCTCAACACCGATACAACACCAGAGCCCAAACTTGTCAAAGAATGGCAGAACAAGAGCAAGAGTTGGAGAGAGTCAGCTTAGAACTTGAAGACCTTCGAGGGAGCGTAGGTCAAATAATGGGAATGCTGCAAGTCATCAAGGCCAAGATGGACACACAACCAACGGTTGTCTCCAAAATCGTCGGTCTAACGCTTGAACCCCAACCTGCAAGGACAATACCTTTTATATGTCCTTCTTTTGCCACCCGGTTTCACACCTCAAGTTCAAGCACCCCCGGTTGTAGTGCAATCCACTCAAAAAGTTGTTCCTTTACTGGTAGCCATCGAGGTTAAACCTTTGGTTCATGCTTTTGCACCTCCAATTGGTCATGCATGCATACGACTTTACTTTGAAGATCAACAACATGGTCCATAGTTGTATGATGAAGAAGAAGAGAGACATGAAGATATAAGGGGCATTAAATAAGATGTCCTAACTATTGAGAAGAGACTGAGGACAATTGAGGGAGATCATGTTTATGGTGTTGCTGATGGGGAGATGTGTCTTGTATCCGGTCTTGTAATTCTTGCAAAATTTAAGACCCCTAACTTTGAAAGATACAAAAGTCATACTTGTCCTAAGAGCCACCTCGTCATGTATTACCGAAATATGGCTGCTCATGTTGAAAATGAGAAACTCACGATCCACTAGCTTGAAGGGTGCCCCCTCTGAAAATTCTGGCCAACCCACGATGGATGTTCTAACAGAAGTTATAACATCCACTGTGACATTCACTAAAGACCTATTATTATGCAGTAATTATAAAGCAGTAAATAACACAGTTGGTTGTTGACCCAGTTCAGTGCAACACACTTACATCTGGGGGCTACCAAGCCAGGGAGAAATTTCACTATCAGTAGAATTAATTCAGAGTCAAACCTCCAGTTTGCACTCCTAACTTAAAACCTACCCAATGGCAATTTAACCTAGAGACACTCTAGACCTGAGTATACCCACTAACTCCCTACAATCACACACCAGTGATATCAAACAGTTACAAATTAAACAGTAGAATGAAGAGACACTTCAACTACACACACTCCTCGATCTTGCTTCAAAGCTTTGATCAAGTGACACACACTCTTGCTTAACAGCTTCGAGTGGTACACAGCCTAGAAACTACCTAACCAATGCAATCAACAGTTGCTTGGATTACAAGTG